AAATCCCAGCAGCCATTCGGTTAAAGAACTAGATGCCAACCTCCCCTACCTCCTCTTGGATTTTCTTCTCTCAGTCTTGGACTAAGAGAAACACTGGACCAGCAACCACTAGAGGACCAAAACATTCACCCTCACTATTTCTAAGGTAAAGGTCTCCAAAACCATATGGGGTCTCTCCTATCTGGGTTCTTGGAGAGTATCCTATTAACGACCAGGAATTCTTTGAGGTAGGATCTGAGAATTTAGTATTTTTTACTTAACCGTGCTTTGTCCAGGTTATAATCCATATTTTGTCTATAACCTCTATGTAAGAGAGGAAAATAGCCAACATTTCCTTTAATTGTTTATTCCTGAGACTATTGAGATAAATTGGATCTTCCCTTCAATCTGTCATATATTTTACCCTCATAAACATCATAAAATTAACCTTTGGAAAACACAAAACTAATGTAATATAAAAAACACCCACCACCCCATAGGGAAAAAAGAAAATTTAATAGTTTTTCTATAACTGAAACTAAAATAATATGATATAGTAGAGTCCTGATTTAGAAGTCAAAGGGGAGAAAATTAAAACAAAAAGAAACCCAAAAAACTACTCTGGCTCCCAAACCTTGCTGTTTCTAAGTTTCCATTTCCTCATTTGTCGGAGAATAAAGATAATACCCGCCTATGTGTTAGGTCAGAGTGGTGACCCAATGCAATGGTGCATCATACAGAAGCCAAGGACACACAACTGTGTTTTAGTAGGTTAAGGTAGCTGACCTCCAAAAATGCATCACAACTAATAAGTGAAAAATTAAAAATAAAAGCTAATAAATAACGGAGAAGTATTATGGTAAGACAATAATTTGAATTAAGAGAACTTGTTAAACACTCTGACTTATCGAATTCTACTAAATCAATTAATGATATCTTTATTTGTTATTAGAAACAATGGATGTGATGCAGGATTTAGTGTTGTGACAACTAACTTTTAACCTTTCGTCTTTAGGAATGGATTATGTGGGGCGCCTGGGTGGCTCGGTTTTTTGAGCTACTGATTCTTGGTTTTGGCTCAAATCATGATCTCAGGGTCATGGGATGGAGCCCTGTACTGGCCTCCATGCTCAAGAAGGAGTCTGCTTGAGGATTCTCTCCCTGTGTTCCTCAACCCGCTCTCACCCATACATGCATGTGCTCTCTAAGATAAATAAATCTTAAAAAAAAAAAAAGGACTGTGTGATATATGAATGACTCAGCTATTTCTAAAAAGATTGCTTATCAATAAGTTGTTTGTAAAGGGAATATACATTTTCTCTTGGTCTAGAAAGTGAAATAGGAAGCATTCTGCAGTGGGGAGCAGGGAGGGTGATTAACAGGTGAAGACTTCTGAATGTTGGTTGAGCAATGGGTTTCTCATTTTTTGTAGCTCAGTTTCCCCATTTGTAAAATTACAATGATAATAGCTCCAATTGCTTTGGGTTTTTATAAGAATCAAATGGGGAAACATTATGTGTGCCGAAGTTTTTATTTATTTATTTTATTTATATAAATGTTAACAGATGCATACATATTTATACACTTTAATGTTCGAAGTTAATATTTTGGAAATACTGGCAGTCCCTTTCTAGGGAAAGTAAGATATCCCTGTTCCACTGACATCAGCTTTTGCCATGCAACCTAAGGTGCCATTTGTCTACATGAAGATTGTACATTCTTGACCTATTAACTCAGGAGTAGCCATATGAATTGCTTTGGCCGATGGAAAAAACAAAAAAATACGGTAGTTATTCCATGCCTCACTTGTAGGTAACAATGAAGAACTGGGTTTTGTTTTGTTCTGCTGTGTTTCCCACAGCAAACATTGCCCTCAGGAAATCCCTTGTTCTAGGCAGAGACCACTTCATCAGCTGGGTTGTGGAGTGAAGACTGAATACAGCACAGTCTCTGACTGTTGATAGCACTGACTATGGAATTTGGCAACATAAACCTAGCTATCCTAACTGATCCCAACTTGACAGTTAAAGGTGGAGTGTGCCTGATAAACACCCAGAAAATAAATCGCATGGTTTCAAGAGACTGGAAGCTGGTGAGGAAACTTACTGGAAGCTATCAGGATGGGAATCATGGTTGGCAGTGAAAACTCATTTAGCAAAATGGTTGCCTGCAATAACATGGAAGGCAAGCGATGAACCAAAGAACCCACAGCTCTTGATATCAGAGTAGCCAGGCAGTTAGTGCATGTCTCCCACAGGAGAATTATGCATCCCTGAGGTGAGGAGCTCAGGAGCAGTCTGTGCCTGGGTTTGGTCGATGAACCGCGGGCAGCAGAGTCAGGGGTCACTTCTGGGAGAAGCATTAAGATCCAAATTGTGGTTTATTGTGCCTGTCTTTTCACTCTGTCAGAAGAACAACACTGCTCTGCATAGAGGCTGCCCTTTCATTTGGCATGGGGTGAATGATGGAGGATGGAATGGGCACTGATCCATGGTGGATATACAGTGGGAGTGAGATATAACCCTTCTCAGTCACAAATTGCTGAAGTTCTGAGTCTGGGTGTGTGCAGAATATATCCTAGCTATCTGCAAAGGCAGGTGCCTCATTAAGTGCCACGTACACATTACCTATTACTATTTTTATATGAGCACCAGGGTAATGGTGATGGTACAAGGGGATTTCAAAATCTCAGAGGGAAAAAGATGGAGGAGGCTGATGAAGCTAACATATTCTAGTTACTTAAGTACTTGAAGAAATTGGCTCCACATCCGGTGGTGTGCTGGTAAGGATTAACAACTAGCTGTGGATGGAGTGAAAGGTACTGATTTGTTGCATCTGCTAACTTCTGTAGCATAAATGTGCCCACCATGGCTGATTTCAGACTAAAGATGGACATGATGGGACAGTGGGGCCATCTGTGCACAGGGGCTCCCACGATCCCATGATCCCGGTGCACAGCTGGGGCACACGTCTCTAATAGGTTTCGCTGGCAAGTGGGGGTGGTGCACAATCATGCTTTGGAGAAGGATCTGACCAACTCTGGAAGAAAAAAAAAATGCCACCTAATGCCAACCCTGCTCAGCACAGGAAGTTTGGAAAAGCAGAGCCCTGGCTCACATTCTCCCCCACTGAATGCCATGGATGCCAGAGCCAGTCAAGACAGCCTTAATAAGCTGAGGAAAATCACAGCCTCCCCAGCAGTTTTGAGACAGAATGGAAGGAAAATACTTAGAAGGGGAAGGGAGGAGGAGAAAGAAGGATTGTTGTCTGAGAAGAAACCACTTTGATCTCAGTCAAAACAGATCATGCTGAAACCAGGCTGCTGTTCCCTGGGAAAATATATTTCTCCACAAATCCTGCCTTTCTAAATTGAGCAGTGAGTCAGCAGTGGGCAGTGCGGCGTGTGAAAGAGAGGAGGATGAGCCCCAGGTACCACTGATGCGTTCTGTTATTAGAAGTCTCTGGGAGAGTAATTTGGTAGAAGCTTTTCAGTTTTTAGGTCACTAGTTTAAATTCAGTCTCAGTTGATCAGGAGCAAAAGGGAATGGCTGGTGGCTTAGGAAAAAAGCCTTGGTGATGACATCCTCGTTCTTTCCCATAGAGACTGCCACTGCAATTGGTACCCTTTCTTTTGCTCCTACCAGAAGCAGGAAGGGTGAAGAGAAATGTCATTTCACATATTCGCTCAGCTTTCGCAGTAGAGAAATTTGAGATATGAAAAAGATCAACTCCTTTTCATCTTTAACTCACAGGTAGAGTTATTCTCCTATAATGTGGTTCCTGGACCTTTCTGGGATTTATTGAAATGAGACCTAGGGCCATCTTATAAGTAGGATTATGTTACCTTATAGAAAGTGAAATCATACAAAGGCACATTCTGAAGGAATATTTAAACATAAAAAGTGTACAATTTCTTAGTCTGAATCTCACAAATCTAGGATTTATTTAGCTTTTCTTCTTGTTTACACAAATAAATCCATATATTTGTATATGTGGATTATATGTATGTATATAAGATTTTCATTATTCCATTAAATGTACTTGTCTTCATATTTGGTTTTCAGAGACTATGGGGTTCTTTTATTTTGTCCGTTAAAATACTCTAAATTTCCTTGTTGCTAACATGACTACCTTCACATAATCTTGTTTCCCACATATTTTAATAGTAAATGAACCACAGAAGCAAGGTCTCTATAGTTACCTGGGGAAAAGCAACCAAATAGATACTAGAGCAGAGGCACAGAGAAGTATCTGGTAATGCCAGACAAAGTTCTGGCAGCCTCGGGTACTCTGAGGGATCTAAAGGAATGAGCCCTGTTTTGGACATAATGAAAATGTAACCAACTGATCTAGGCCCCAGTTACTTTCCACAGGGTTCACTTCCCATGTCTGGATCATGAGGCTGATGTGTCTCATTACTTTCACATCCTTTCCAGTTCAAACATTCGCTGCAATCTCCACTTTTACCTCATCAGGCTTTGGGTGAGAGGCTGTGTACATTAAAATGGGAGGTGGGCAAGATGTAACTATGCCTTGTGTCACCTCCTTTGGTGGTAAAGATCGATACTGGGATTTTCCTGAAGGATCACATGCACATCTATCTGTCCTATCCTTCAAGGCCAGCTTTCCGAACTCTTGTCAGCAAGCTCAGCCATTCCCGTGTAATGACACCAGGAGAAGGTCGGTTCCCTGTCCTCTCGACACCCACGAGTAGAGTGATGTGTCACGTGATGATTCTTACAGCAAGGGGCAATTATCAACACCATGTGAAGCCTGACTTATAGATTCAGTGAAAGATACAACCATTTCTGGCCAAATGTGTTTTAGTCAGGAATATATAAACAGTGAAAACCAAGCAATCATCCTGCAAGTAACTCATATGCCTATGAATCTGGACCTGCAGATGCAAATATCAGCTAGCCCTCCTCCCTTCACCTAAATGAATAAACGAGGCCCAGCAATGACGAGATTTGCCCATGGCCATAGAATGAAGTTGTCTGCCTCAGATTTAGAATGCCTACCGTCCGTCCGTGAACCCAAAGCTATTTTCTCTATACCACACTGCAGCAAAACTAAATCCTGCTGGGTAAAGGAATTCGAGACAGAAAATAATAGCTGCAGACTCTTTGGGTGCAAAGTACAAAATATTCAACTGCATGTTTCCAGTCCCTTCATTCTGTCTCGTAATGATTGCAGCTAATCCCTGCCAGGTAACGTCAGTCCTTCAGTGGTGGCAATCAATAGAATCGATTAGCCGAGGAAACCCTCCGTCCACATGAGCCCCGTTTTCCTTTCCAGATAGAATTTCCCTGTACTAGAGTGCAAGCAGACATGTGAATTCTCCCCCTTACCCACGCACAAATACACACCCATCAGCCTTCAAGGTTGTCTCCATAGAGCTTTACATATCTACCAAGAAGCATACCTGTAGATTTAATAAAACAGCACCAATCCTCATGGCTTCACTGATTTCGAGGCTGTACATCAACTGTGGGAAGCGGGGAGGGCTTTGATTATTTGGAGGAAGCACTTCAATGTACACTGTGCAGATGGAGTGCCTGCAGAGAAAGAGAACAGAAACAAGATGGGGGAAAATCCACATCACCTTTAATGACAGACCGCAGTCCGTGGTCTGCCATTGGGCTTATAGGAGAGGACATTTTGATTTTTTAGAGAAAACAATAAAATAATTCAGAATGAAAGGATGGCAAAATAAAAGCTACCACTGAAATATCATGTTTCTATGAAATTATCTCAGTAAAAAGAAAGGAAATGCCTCAGGGCACCTGGGTGGCTCAGTCGGTTAAGCGGCTGCCTTAGGCTCAGGTCATGATCCCAGGGTCCTGGGATCGAGCCCCACATCAGGCTCCCTGCTCAGCGGGGAGCCTGCTTCTCCTTCTCCCTCTGCCTGCC